GAAACCCCATCCAAATTCAGAACACATTTCAAGGATTACAAGCATACTGTGGTCTAACCACTGAGATCCTATCGCTATTCTAGTTATTCAATGAAACATCCTGAATTGCACGTAGATGGCGCCATTCTCCCTGAGCAGCTAGTGGATTAGATCATTAGAGTCGTTTCCTGGCACTTTATGATCTGTAATTATTACACTGCAACCTATTTATAAAGTTGTTGGAAACTATTCTGGATTAAAAGTGTAAAGCCATTTCTCTTTGTCTTTTTTTACATTTTCCTAGTAAATCCAGTTATATGCACCAAGAGGTGGGAAACGAAGCCGTTTCATCTCCTTTGGTGGTTTTCCAGAATACATCTCCACCTGAGGGTGAGGGCGTGCCTGCTGAGGACGTGGCTAGGGAGAGCTCAGACTTGGGGACATTTAGTCTGAGATGAAATCTGCAATGGAGTGAGAGGCAACTCCAACAGGCCAGCTTTGTGTTACATAGTTCAGATTTAGAACATCTAAATTATACCATACCTTAATGTACAAGTCATACACGTCAGTGAAGAAGTTCTTAATTCCATCTTCTTGCCTTACATCATGGAGCATGATAAATCTCATATGTGCAACAGTTAAGGTATAAGGGTTTACAGTTAGGTTAGCTTTAGCTTAAAGAGAACATTGTGTGTGTTTGTGTGTGTTTTAAGATACAAGATAAACTACAAAATAAATTTCTCTTGGATTGCATCAGATGAACCTGTTTTATACATGTGCTGTGGTTTTAAAATTAATCCTGAAACAAGATGTTCTTGTGTGTGTGTCACAATAGCAGTGTTTCCATAGTTACTGGATCCTGAAGCCCCAGGATTCAGAGCCTGGCACTTAGGGGCCATCCCCGTGCTCCTCGTTGTGTACCCCACCATTCCGTGACAGGGCTCCACTGAACCGGTTTATAAGGATATGGCCAGCAGTCACAAATGCCGAGACAAACCACTCGTTGAATTTGTCCACCGTTTTCAGGTACATGTTGTTAGACAGCCACATGTTCTCATCTACGAGGTCGAGTGCGGCGTGGGCGATGAACTGGTTCAGGTGGCGGTGATCATCCTGGATGACATCGGGGACAGCCACAGATTAGCATGCTGCACCAAGGACACCAACCCCTCTCCATTGCTACAGATGATTTTCTTGTAGGCAGAAACATTTTCTGCTTTGATTTCTTTTATTATTGTCTAAATAAACCAAACCCACTGCTGTCAAGTTGATTTGGACTCCTAGCAGGCCGCTCGGACAGAGTAGAACTGCCCAATAGGGTTTCTGGGACTGGAAATCTTTACAGACACAGAA